CCAACGGCTCCACCGGTCACAATGGAGGAAAAAGTCCCGATCCCAACACAGCCCGGATGCAAATTTATTGGACGCATTCTTGGGCCACGTGGAATGACCGTGAAACAGCTGGAAACACGGACCGGATGCCGCATATTGATCCGCGGAAAGGGCTCCGTCAAAGTAAGGCACTGATTATTGATAAAATTTTAGTCTAAATCACTGGAACTCGCAACTCATTTTGGTGTTTATGTTGTCACCACTGACCACTGGCCTAAACACGAGTGTGTTTTTTGCAGTGGGAGATTTAGGAAAATACGAGATTTCTGGAAGCGCAGCTGAAAAAAGACAAAATTTTTGAGAAACGGGGCCTAGTCGCCATAGGCAGTCAATTTTGGGTTTCCATGTCAGTGATGTTACTAGAATGGTCCTCTAGGACTATCATAACTGTGATAATTTGCGAAAGACTCTAGAGGGGAAGCTTTTTTAGATTACTAATATCTAAAAATTATGAAAAATGTCAAAAGTCAAAATCCCTCTCTGTAACCAATCTCTCTGGAAAGCAGAGGCAGTTGGAAATGACCCGAATGAGAAAGCATGCCAGTAGCAACCACACGCTGGTGAAGCTGTCGATGGCTCCGTCTTTCAAGGTGCACTCTTCGAGTGCCGGGAAAAAAACTTTTTACGCTTTTAACATGCTGTCCAAAAAGTCTTTTTAGCCTCTTTTCACACGCACCACGCCAATTCATTTTAGGATCCAAAGCGCGAAGAGCGTTTACGGAACCGCCCTGGATGGGAGCATCTCGCCGAGCCACTGCACGTGCTTATTACTGCCACCGATTACTCGCGGGAGCATTGCGGCCATAAGCTTGCGTGCGGCATTCGTTCCATCAAAGCCTTGCTTACCAACACGGACGACGAATTCAAGCGACATCAGCTCGTGCAACTGGCCATCATAAATGGTACTTACCGCCCATCAGGAAGATAAGAAGAAAACGAGCCTAATCCTCTCGTGTTCAGCCAAATTTTTTCAAGATTCAGTGAAAAGTGCATTTGTAATCCCTGTTTTTGGTCCCATGTCTTTGATCTGCATTATTAAAATTTCTTATTTTTCAACCGCTGAACAAACTGTATGCGTTTCTTTCTTTAAATTACTAATAAAAAATTGTGGATTTTTTTTTCTGTCTCACAAAATGCAAATAAGCAGTTTTGGTACTATATGTCCTGCATCACGTAATCTACAAAACTATCAAAATCGACCGGAGTGTAGGTGTTGTTGGTGTGAATTACAAGCTGACCACTACTGATTGACCCAGCGGTTCAATCCTAGGTCTGTAGTCATCCGAAAAGCTACTAACGAGCTACTAATAACTGCCTACTCCAAGAGTATAAGTCGTCTCTTCAGGAATCGCCCAAGTGATCATTTTCTTCCTCATGGGTACCAATTACTGTTGCAGAAC